CCCTTCTCGACCCACCCAATCAACTACACTTTATCAAACTGGTCGTCGCAGTTGATAGAGGAGAGACAGGATTAGGAGATTGGCTTATCCAGGAATACCTGAACGAGTTAACGAGGCTTGTTGAAGCCGTCACAAACTTGCGACATGACCCTGACTACCTTTACGTTCTTCAGTACCAACTTTCAACCGCTATTCAACTAGGCGAGTTGCTCCTCACATCACAGGATACATCACCTTGGATGTTGATGGCTCTTTCATCCAATGCCGACATTTCCTCTGCTTTGAGCCTCTGGCTATCACTGGTCTTGGATGCCAACATAACCTCTGCACCTCTCATGCGGCTCGCACGGGAACTTGGCAAGCATCATGAAACCTTCCAACCGGACCTGAGATTCAATATTCTCCTTGTCATTCTACGAAACGCCCAACAAGATCCCTCAGTCGAAGCGGCTCTTGACTTCGTGCCAGCGCTTTTGAAAAGTTTGGAACCTTCAGATGTCAATGTGGAATCACTCCGAAACGAAATTGGACGAGTTTTCGCCGCATTTGCCGACCATGCACCGACCATGCAATCCAACATCTCCGAGGTGCTCTTCCAAATCATCGAATGGCTATCCTCTCAAGATAACATCAAACTTACGACTTTGACCGGTGTATCGCCAGACGGATTTGACTACCTCTGTACCAACCTTTCTTCTCTTCTCCCTCCAGAACAACAAATAGGTCTCAGCGACGTGCGCTCCAAATTGACGGTTGACGACGATCAGATTATCTTACCTGACAGCATTGAATTACCAGAATCCCTTGCCCTACCGCTACAATCTATCGAAAATCTCTTGTCGACCAAGAAAAAGGAACCCTCGACGCCGAAGGCTGGCACAAAAACGCCAGATATCCTGGGCGTCATCATATCTCCTCCCACTGCGATTTTAAGGAGTCCAGCAGCAACTGGCCTAACAAAGACATACGCGAATAACGATTTCAGGCAATTGAGGTCTAGTACGGCGACAAGGTTGAACACTAGTCGACTACCGAGTACGCATGGTGCGTTTAGTTGTACTATGATCTCGATTCAATTAACTAATGGGTTAAAAAATTCCTCGTTTTTGATTTACATTTCGCAGTTGATGTTAGTTTATTTTCAACCAATGCAGTCCAATAGTTCCTATTCTGACAGGACTTTTATTTTCTAGGAATTCGAAAACGCTGCGATGGCGGTCGACTTGCTCCCAGCCATTGATCCGACTGTGACGATGGCCTTTCAAGGTCTCGCCGGGAGTTTACCATTTGATGGATAGTATTTGATAAAATGTATATAACACTAATAGAAAGTTCTTCGTCTTGTATTACGTCATGCACTCGTTAGAGCCTGGTATTAGCTCCAGTCGGAAGATTTTCTCTGTACACACTGCCAGCTGTAGTCAACCGAAGTTACCGACCCCGGTGTAAAAGACAAGACCTCGCGGGACTTTTTTGTGTACAGGCTCCTTTTTAGGGTTAGGTTTCCACCCCTTTGATGGCTTAATCTTTCCACCAACACCGCGTCCAGTGACCTCGACGCCGTTGCCGACAACGGGCAGCCCCCGCCAACATGAACGGAGTTCGTCGACTCCTTGGCGCAGCGACCTCCTCATCGCCCCAACAACAGCCAGATAGCCTGCCGTCATCACCTGCTGCTAAACCACTTAGTTTTGGTCCAAGGGCTTCGGGTTCAAGGACGTTAGCATCCGCCTCACCGTATTCTTCGCCGCAAGCCAGCAGTGGCCTATCATTGACCGATGCAAGCCCAAAGGCTTCAACTACCTCTTCATTTATTAACAAGAAGGAACGAAAGCAGCCAGCCACCAATGGTGTAGACAACGAACTCCAAAGTCCTTTTTCCACACCAAGCAGGACTGCTCTGAACATTTCCTCAAGAAGTCAGCCAGACTATCCTCCGTCTTCTCCTACTCGTGCTCAAACAATGCCCAGTTCGCCTGCCTCGGTGTCGTCTTCTCGATATTCGACCAGAAAGTCGGTTAACACCGATCCAGGTTGGAAACGGCTCTCCGGGAATCTCAATACGCGGGATGAACTTCTGATGAGTCTCATAGCCAGCGAGGCTGTGATAGACAGTCGAGAATTTGACATCTTGAGTGCTGAAGAAGTGGAAGAACTGAAGAAGGTTTGTCCTATTATTCCAGTCCGTTCTCATTCTGATGGTTGTACCACACAGGAACACCAAGTCCTTTCTTCTCGCCTTGGAGCGATGAATAAGAAACTTGCACTAGAGACTAAAATACGGGATGCTGCTCTCAATCTCTCTAAAGTCAACTCCACGCACAAGAAAATGTCAAAGCAAACAAGTGAACAACTAGACGCCGCTAATCGTCGCGTTGAACTGGCCCAACGAGAATTATGGAAAGTTTCCGACAGGGTAAATGATGTCTACAAGCGGCTCATGGAACATCGTGCTGGGGTACTCAGTATGTCTGTTCGGAACATGGAGAAGAAATTGGCGGGGGCGCATGAAGACTCTGGATACGACTCATCGAACCGCAGTACCCTGATGAGCCCAACTCTCTCCGTGACTGCACTTTCTCCCTCTTCACGGGCAAGGTTCGACGGTGCTCATCTTTTCGCCGGCCATGCGGATGCTGTCGTACCCAAACCAAAGCTATCAGCTGAAGCCGCCGCCGCCGAGCTGGCCAAAGTGGAAGAGAAGTTGAAAGAGGCAAAAGACCAATTGTTGGCGGCTACCAAGAAGCAAGGGGAAATGACAAGAGAATTGTCCATGATGCGACTTGAGAAGCAGGAGGTGGAGACGATGATGGGCATGGACCTACAGGCCGCAGAAGAAACCATTGCCGCTCTTGAGCAAGAGCTTCCTCGCCTCGAGGATCTCAATACAGAAGTACATCAGCTACGGGACGACAAGAGCAGTTGGACGCGTGAGAAGGCCGAGCTACTGGAGCGGAGTAAACAGGTTGATGTTCTTCAAGCGCGACTGTTGGATATGGAGAATCAACGAGGAGCGGCTGACGGAGCTGAAAAGATGCTGGAGGAAATTCGAAATTCTTCGCGGCAAGCGGTTGAGGAGAAGGATCGGGAGCTTCAACTGCTGAAGGAGAGCTGGCAGGTTGCTCAAGAAGAATGGGAACGGGAAAAGGCATTGATCGAGGAGGAGAAGTTGGAAGATCTCTCAAAACTTCAAGAGGAGATGGATAAGATTAGAGACGAAGAACAGCGTGGGGCCATGGAAACAAACGAGGAGCTCAACGCAGGCCTTGCGACACTTCAATTCTTGATTAAGAAGCATGGTATTGTTCTGTTCTCTCGGGATTCATCGCTGCAGGGCCTGCTAAATGCTATTGGGATGCACATCGAGACAGTTCATGCTAAACTTGATGCTCACACCAAGGCCGAGGGCGAGTGGGATTCGACGCGCCGAAAACTTGAAGATGACATTCGGACAGGGTTTGACAAACGTGAATCACTGGCACGGAGGTTGGAAGAGGCTAGGAATGACCGTGATGTTGCGAGGAGGGATACTATGTCAATGGAGAGCAGGGTAAACCTTCAAATATGCAATACATGTAGACATTTTAATCTCTTTCACAGCTACCAGGCCATCTTCGAACTCCCTCGGTACCTGTTTCTACCCTCCCACCATTATCCGCGTTACCGCCTGCAGAGGTTGGAGACCTCGATGTTGCTCGCATTGTCGCCATCCTTCAACCTCTTTGGCACATTCTCCCTTCACCAGAAGCTCGAGCTGCTAAAGCTGCTGGCAATTCCACTCGAACACCCTACCGCACCGACTCGCCTACCTCTGGCACACCTTCTACACCTGGCGGCTCCAACAACGCCGCATCTCTCTCTGACGTGGACGTTCGTACGCTCAAAACCTTGTACGATCCAAGGTCGCAAGCCTCACCTCAAATATCCAATGGCCCATTCACGATCGAAGGATTTGCGAGACGCGTGCAAGCTCTTATTAATGATGACAGAGCCCTTATTGAGCGACTTGTCCGGTTTGCTCAGGCTCACGATCTGCTGAAGAGGAACGCAGAACGAGCACAGAAACTGGCTCAAGGTGGTAACAACGCCATGGAAACCTACCAAAAGCAAGTCAGAATATTGGAGGAGAGGAACTTTTCGATAGGCTCCAAAGCTGCAGCTCTGTGGGTGTTATGTCTATCGTTTTGGAAAGAAAGCTAACTAAAATGTACAGGCAAGAAGAAGTCCAAATCTTGCACGACACAATCGAGCGGCTCACAGCAGACAAACACGAACTCGAGAAGCTTGCTGCTGATCAGGCAGAAACGTGTCAACAGTTGACCGAGGCCAACAACACGCTTAGTGCACGGACATTGACGCTCGCGGAGGAGGCTGCACAAGCACCCGAAATGATCAAGAAGCTACTCGAGTCGCAGTTGGCTGAATGTAAAAAGTCTCTGGAGTCGGCTCAAGATGAATTGGATGCTATGCGGTCGTCTGAACAGTCTCAGCGGATAGCGTTGTTGGATGAGCTTAACTCAATGCAGACGGAGAACGGCAATCTAAGAGCGCAACTGAGAGCTTTGAAGAAGTGATATACTTGATCTACACCATAACATTCATTTTTGCTGTATTTATTGACTACATTTGGATAAACTATCTCATATACAATATAGCTACCATTGTTCTGTGAATTATCGTGGCAGGAAGTCCTCAACTCCTTAGAACCCACAGAAGTTCAATCTCTCATGATTGATGAAGCTGAAGAGTGATATAATTTGCGAATCTCAGGCTACGGCCTTGACGTAAGTATATCTACAAGCCTCTCAGAAGCAGACCAGCGATCCTCGTTAAAACCAGGGATATTCACGAAGATTACGCTCTTCAAAACTATAGTACCTACTGTATGATGGTGAAGATTGTCGCCTACCATGGAAAAAGCATTCGAAAGTGGCCCATTTTTGGACTGGGGCTAAGCGTCGCTAAATCTTGAGTAGCGCAAAACCTAAAGAAGTTCAACAGCCCCTGTTGTCTAATGGTTATGACGTCAGACTTCTACGCTTACGTAAGCGGATATCTGGAGGTTGCGAGTTCGAGTCTCGCCAGGGGTTACTTTTAATTGTTTTTATTGCATGCAAGGTATCACAAAGGTTGATCTCTAAATATGAGTCTAAGACTCTAAGTTGACCAACCACCCTCAAGATTTTCAAATTCGTATAACATCAAGGGTTATATATATATATATATCACTGTTTAGGGCTTTGTACTTAGATAGAGCCGGACTGCTACCCCGCACCCGGGTATAAATATAAATGATTGGGCAGCGACAGTGACCCAAGCTGACCCCTTTGGTTTGCCTGCGGGTCGGTCAAGTATAGGTTGGGACGACTCTCCTGCTGGCTTCTGTTGATTTAAAAAAAATTATACGTGTTGAAAAAAAATAAAATTCTATTTTATGGGAACAATATGGGAATTTGTTCTCGAACAGAAATATTTGTACAGCTAACTACAAAATCGTAGACGGACAACAAAGAGTGGGGCCACTTACCTCAGACAACGTAGAGAGGAAGTTTGGCTCCAAGTCTTGAAAAGTAGCTCACCCCACACTAGTTCCACATTCAGGTGAAAACGCGATTTGTCTACGATTATGCAGTAGCTGTCAATTCAATTGAGCACGATGCTCGGTTGTTGAGTAATAGGGGTGAGATTGTGGGGGGTTTGCTGCCGGCCCGGCAAAGGAAAATGTAACTCGCCCTTGGCCAAATTTACAGGTCTGACCTCCACCAGCTCACCATGGCGTCCCCACTGGGAGGCGTAATATCTTCGTCTCCAGTCTCAATTAGGGGAATATCTCCTGTCAGAAGGCGCAGTGGCTCGCCAACGGTCGCAGATATCAGCGAAATAACCACAAGAGCAGCTCGCCACTCTCCAACTCTAAACCGTTCATTTGACCCAAATGATCCACAAGTCCGGGAGCGTCAGCGTACCATGGATGTAGATATGGCTATGCAACTATCTTTAGCTAGAAGGGATACACTTCATTCATCGCCAGTGGTTACATTTTCTCCCAATGGCATTCCCACAACGTCTCCATTTGAGCCAGGTCCAGAGGGCATCCCTACCACAGAACATTCTTTCTCCGGGGGTTCCAACCATGACCTTCTGGATGACCGCGATACCTTAAACCCAAGGGACGAGTTTGCCCACGAAAATAGTAGTGTTGATGGTGAGACACTGGCCCCACATACTCATCAGGCCTCTCTTGCAAGCCTTCACCAGCATATCTCGGATTCAACACTCCAGCAGCATTCCTCGCATGGAGAAGCAACAGGACTAAACTTTGGATTACCACCATATGCCAATGTTTCTCGATCCAATTACGACTTTTCGCGAATGGAAGAGTTTGCGACCGATGAGAAATCCAAATTAGGCCTTTCTTCACCTCTTACAACGAGGTTCGACGTCAGTCAAATCCGTTCACGACCGAAGGCTCAAGATAAGGTGGATGCCAACCAAATACCCTCGGGTTCAACCCAGGACGAGCCGCCTCTTAGAGGTTTCGTAGAAGATTCCGAACCTCGAGCTTCCACCTCAGCTTTACCACACGTCGAGGAACAGCCCCCAGCTGAAGACACGCCCTCACGTCCGCTTCGACATCGCAAACTCAGTCAGAGCAATCCGAATCCTCGTACGCATCGCAAGGGTATTGGAGGCAAGATGGCTCTGTTCGAATCAAACTCGCATGAAGGGCCTTCTACTTTACCGTCACGTTTTGGCGTGGCACTGGGAGGTCAGGCAGGACTACCTTCTGGACCTTCATACGATCACATCGCTGGCGTACCTTCGACTGCTAACATCAACAACGGAATCCTCAACACGGGGCACGACAGACCCTACCGCTTCTCTTTCTATTCGAACGCCTTGTCGGCTACGATCCATGCCAGGAGTCTGAGTGAACTTCCGGCGGAAGGGCAAACTTTTGAGCAGCTGTTCTCCGGTGTGCAGCCAGAGACCTTTCCGAATGGCAAAACCACCATCAACGAGTCGACAAACCAAGTCCCAATGCTTAATCCTAACCCAATGAAGGACCGGCCATCATCGTCTATGGCTTTCACCCCACCAATGCCAGACCCAGCAACATATCGCTCTCCCGAACTAAATAGCTTCGGCAACAGCCTCAATCAGAGCCAAAATCCTAATCGAAGGTCTTTCGGACCACCTGAGAAATTTGGCATGGCGGTTAACAACGGAATAAACGAGGACGTAAATACTTGGTGGCTGGATGTACTTAGTCCGACAGATGAGGAGATGAAAATGCTCAGCAAGGTACAGTACATTTGAACCTCAAATATGGAATTATTCACGATTCTTATCCAGGTTTTCTCAATCCATCCGTTGACAACAGAAGATATCCTGATGGAGGAAACTCGCGAAAAGATTGAGCTTTTTAGGAACTATTACCTTGTTTGTTTCCGTTCCTTCGATCAAGATCCATACAGCCCTACCCATCTTGAACCACTCAACATGTACATCATAGTCTTTCGGGAGGGTATCCTTTCGTTCCACTTCCGACCTACTCCCCATCCCCAAAATGTACGTCGGCGAATCAAGCAACTCAAAGACTATATTTCCGTCACTTCCGATTGGATATCATATGCTCTCATTGATGACATCACTGATGCTTTTGGGCCATTAATTCAAGGAATCGAGTACGAAGTCGATAGTATCGATGAACTGGTGTTGATTTTGAAGGAGGCGGAACAGAGTGACATGTTGAGGAGGATTGGGACGTGTAGGAAGAAGGTGATGGGGTTATTGAGGCTCATGGGTAACAAGGCAGACGTCGTCAAAGGGTTGGCAAAGAGGTGTAACGAGAATTGGAGAGTGGCCCCTACATCGGATATTGTTAGTGCTTCTCCGTCTTTCCTTTTCAACATTTAATCGACCTCAAAATTGGCAGGGGCTCTATCTTTCCGACATCCAGGTTTGTGCTACCATAATTAATACGCTGACTCTTCAATCTAACCATTCACCCCTAGGACCATCTTATCACGATGACTCAAAACTTGAATCATTATGAAAAGATTCTTTCCAGATCGCACTCCAACTACCTCGCCCAGATATCTATCGAGATGACTGATGCCAACAACCAGATCAACGATGTTTTGTCGAAATTAACAGCTTTGGGTACTGTGTTAATTCCTATGAATCTTGTTACTGGTAAGATTATTACATTTCGTCATATGCACGACACTTACTGTCTTCAGGCTTGTGGGGAATGAACGTACATGTACCTGGGCAGGATATTACTCAAGGTTACGCCTGGTTTGGCTCAATCATCGCATGCCTTGCAGCATTCGCCATTGTTGGAGGATACTCAACTTATAAATTCATGGTCAGAAAATGAAACTTCACGTCGCGGTATACGATAGGCTTGGCCATTCTTATCGAGGCTCATTATACATTATATCTTTCGTTGGTGGTTGAATATTCCTTTAAGTATGCTTCGTATTGCAATTATCCAATTTCACTTCTTACATGCACATGCGGCGCACAGGTTTACTTCGCTGCCATTCGGAACAATGTATTGCAGTATCAGGTCAATTGTAGTTAACCAGGTATCAAAAGAAAAAATTCTTCTGAACATGCCACTGAAAACAGCCTAGTTAATACACATAAGTGCTTGAGTGAACCCCGTTTACTCGATAAATCTAATAAGAATATTACATCGTTGATTGGTCATTAAGTCAACTACTGTAGACGAGAGGAGCAAAACAAAGCATGGAGCACAAAGTAAACTAGAGCACAATAATGTTACCCAGAATAAGAAGGAAACAATCACAGAGGTGGTCCACGAGAGTCACCAGACATCAACGACTTTACTGGAGGCAGGATAGGAGAGCCGTTGGCGCCGTTCCTCATTAAAGGTGGCAATTGAGCACCACGGGGGGAACTTAGCACTGCTTGGTTGGTAGGAGATACAATCATGGCGAGCGAAGGTGACAGAGTCTGGACAGGTCGTGGTGGCGTGGAAATCGGAGTCGGCGTAAGACTGGGACCAGCGTGTCTTTTCAAAGGATACGAGCTGATCAACCGATTATCGTCCTCGGGTCGAGGGTGGTGGTGGTGGTGGTGGTGGTGATGGTGTTGCATTTCTTCTGGATGTTTGCGTTTTCTTGATGTTGGCTGAGGTGGAGGATATGGTGCAATTGTTCGAGGACCTTCGCCATTAGGAGCACGACGTTGGGTAGAAGGTGGCATTGTGGGAGTTGACGTTGGTGCCCATCTAGACCATGGAGGGGGAGGAGGCGCTGCCGATGAATGAAACGTACTCACGCTGGGTGGTGGAGGTGCATGCGTCATCGAAGGTGGAGGCCCATGGTGGGCATGGGCGTAAGAAGGGGGTAAAGGAGGTGGCGGGGGATAGGATGGTATTGCACGATGACTGACAGGACGAGAGTTTGAGGGTGTTGGGATCGAAGCACCATCTGAACCAGCATGAAATTGTACAAGTTCGACGAATAGGGTAGGTGCTTGAGGAGGTGGCATTTGTTTGAAGATAATTGACTTGCTGTAGGCATCGAGCATTTGCTTTGTATCGACATACACGTCGAGGGGTCGTTTCTCTCCTGTCAGGATTTCTATTTGAATCGTTGGAACCAAACGAAGAGTAGAAAGGGAATACGATTTACCTGCGGCTATCACACGGACTTCAGAGTAAGGGTATGTCTTCCCTTTCCTCAAACAGCAAATAGGACAGGTGAAATGAGTCATGGGATGTGTGGGGATCTTGTTGTCAGGTAGAAAAACGCAGCCTTTGTGGTATCGTCTATTGCAGAGCTCACATTCCACTTTGTGGATCGAATCCAGGATCGTCATACGTCCCCTACAGATACACCGTGTACCGTCCGTCCAATCATTGTCAACATCCTGGCCAAAGGTAAAACGAGGTTTTCTTCGTTTTTTTGGGCGTGTAACAACTGGACGACTGGCTAGTATACGATGAAGACCAGCGAGGTCAAGACCGAAGGATATCTCTGGGTTAGGCGAAACTGCAAACTGGATCTTGAATAACTTGCGCATGTAATGCCGAACTTGAGGTAGATATTCA